ATGAAGAAGCAAGGAGTGAGGTCTTTCCCCAGGACACCCTTAAAAGGTAGACTTCTATTCACCCTCAGTGACAATAGTGCTCAGGAGGTGAGCCCTGGGAGAAGACAATCTAATCTGTTTCTCTTTTGCACATGTGGCCCCTGCAGGCTTAGGAGTGAGGGGCAGGGGGAGGGGGCTGGCAGCAGAGGGATTCATTCCAAAAGCAGAAAAAGTGCATGAGAGCAGCCCTAACTCATCCCTTAACAGTGTCCGTGCTCAGTGCATAGCCAGGGGCCACTGCGTGGGTGCTGTGCTCACATGACTGTGGGGCATTGAACCTGCCCTTGCGCATTGGGTTCCGGGCTGTGGGGCCCCTGAATTGAGGGTTTCCACCTACTGATCCTTCTTTATTCCCTTCCCTGACTCCAGGGCCAAGGAGCTCTGGTTCCCACTCAGACCTGGCCTTTCTCAAGTGGCCAGTCTTAGGATTTTCCTACTATTAACCAGGGTTGAGGAGGCCTTGCCCCACCCCAGCAGCTCCCATTTGGCATGCTGAACTGCAGTGCCCACAAGTGGGAGAAGCTGAGTAGCCTCTGGAATAAGGATAAAGTGACACTGGTGTAGATTTCTCCCCCTCTGCAATTACCCACTCTGTGAGCAGCACTCCCTGGGAATGAGAGTCCTATCAATGCTCTTGTAGTTCCCTGGATGTCATAGATGTTGGAGTGGGAATGAAGGGGAAAGAGAGATCTCACTTGGGTCAAACCAACTAGATCAGTCCTCTCAGAGACAGGCTTACATCCCTGAGTTGTTGCTTCTTGGAGTTGCTTTTTGTTATGTAGCATGGACACAGAACAGTCTCTGCTGACCCTTTAATGGGCTTTGAGAGGCTTTAAATCACACACGATGAGATTACATGACTTTCTCCCTCAGAACAGTTTGTCAGTTTGAACCCCATTCTATTGTGTTGGTGGTGTAGCTCCTTACCACTAGGCAACCACAGCTGGTTCCTAGTAAAGGCCATGTTGCAGTTGAAATGGGGAGTAGATCCTCTGTGCAGAGCATGATGACCCTTGCACAATGTGTCCACAGGTCTTCAGTTGCTTCTTCAGTGTAAGCACTAAACTCTGATTTGACCTCTTGAACAGCACCTTCAAAAATCCCCAACTCCTGACCTTACCACAGACTGAGGCTACTATTCTTGGGATTGTCTCAAGTCTCTGTGAGCAGGTCCTCTCAGTCCAAGCTGTCCTAAGTGTCCTGGCTCTCACCAGGGCCTTAGAATCTATAGAAGTACACATTCATGTCACCTATTTCCCTGTATAGACAATAAAATGTCAACAATTGAAGCAGCTTAGTGTGCAGTAGTTTTCAGAATGGGATATGGATTAGGGCTGAGAGTCACCAAGCCCATAACTTAACACTCTCTGAATGCCCTGCAGACAGTGCCCCCATGATCTGCAAATACTAATCCTAAATCACCTCTCTCTTCCTCTTGCACGGTAGGGACCTATCCCCCAGCGAATATGCTTATGTGAAACTGATGAAGTCCTGAGGTCTAATTCCATCAGGGAGTGAATGTTCCTGTCTCCATCAGGGGGTTAATATTCCTGTCTCCTGCTTATGGTCCCTACACGGTTCCTAGAGTGCCCCAGAAGGGGAAAGCTCCCTTGATCTTGGGCAGCCTCCTTAGCCTCCTTCTCGGTCTCATCTTTCTACTGTTTGCATGGATCTTCTCCCAAATGGAGCACTGCCCGTTCCTCTCCTCCTTCCCCAAGCTCTTATCTGCTCAGAGATCCAATCCTAGAAACGTAGTTTTGAAGTACAGCTCTTTGGAACTCATCTTCCACAAGGAAAGTCAAGATAACGGATATACACAAAGTGTGTGTGTGGAAAGGGATGCAGTGTGAACCAGTTTTGGATGTTACTGCCCCCTTATCTCAGTGAGGCAGAAACTAGTTCACTGTGCCCAGAGGCTGGTGTCTCTATTGCTGACTGTATTGGTCTCAATACATAACTCTCAGGCCTGAACCTTCATCTTGAAGCTGAGGCAATGCCAGTGGGTATGATGAGGCTGATTTAAAGTCTTTCACTCTGGCCAGTGTATTGCTGACATTCCACCAGCTATTTTGGCTCTTCCCTCATCTCATCGGACCTCTGTCAGGGGCAGTACATTTTGGCAGGACTACAGGCTTTATGAGGATGAGATGAAAACAACAGATGTGGATGTTTAAGTATCCGTGTCTCTGCAGGGTACAGTGGTCTTGTCAGGGCTCAGAGGTGAACACTCTTCTCCACAGTCTGCTCTTGGGACCCATGGGGCCTGGAAACACAGCTGTGTTTTCAGTGGTTCTAGTGAAAAAAACAAGGTGCAAGAGAAGTGATGTATGCAAGTTCTACAGGGAACAGCACAGAACTGCATCCGGACGTGGGACAGCTTTCCCACTGTGTCCCCGAAGCTCTGGGAGCACATGGATGAGGAAAGCTATTTGACGTGGGGCTCAGGGAGAGTGTATTCCCTGCCCCTGTCTCCCTAGGACACAGCAGCTGGAAATGCCAGGGATGTTGGGGCAGGCAAGAAGAGCCACTCTATCTGACATCACCAAGTCAAATGTCCTGGTTGCTCCTCAGCTTCCTTGCACAATAGTCCTGAGTTTTTCTCTCCTAGGTTGGTTCCTTCAGAAGTCAATCTTGAGACAAAAATTCAAGGGCAAATGTTGTTTTTAATGGTGACACTATAGAACACTAGTAGGAGGTCCAGAAACAGCACACAATTATGATTATTGCTGAAATTTTATTGCTCGCCTCTGCATGCACTTCAGTCCTATTATTGCCACATTCAAATTTGGAACACTACCTCCTTTCTGGTTCTGTTATCCTTCTTTATCATCCTCCTCCACATCTGTGCACACTTACATTCTCACAGTAAATAGATCTAAACACACACATACACTCATGCACATGCATAAATAAATGATGCTCCTATGTGCTCACACTCATGTGAAGAGACTATCAAAGCCAGCTCCAAAATGTCTGCACATGGGCCTCATCTCTTGGCCTTCAGGCAGACAATGAATAAAGCTTATTTGGAAGAGATGACATTGTCACTTCCGTCTTTATGTCTTGGAGCACTCTCTCTGGAGGAAGGCAGCCACCATGTCAAGCACTCAAGTAGCCTTGTAGAGGACCCTTGCAGAGGAGGCCTGATCCTTCCATCAAAAGCGAACATCAACTTGCCAGTCATGTGGAACTAATCAGGTTTTTAGATGAATATCCACTCCAGATATGCTTCCAAAACTCCTGGCCCCCAAACCCATCATTGGCACTTCAGAAGACTGTGTGATAAGGTACTTTATCATAAAGGATTAAATCGATAAGGTGCTTTCTCATAAAGAATTAGATTGCTCAAACAACAAATGCTAGTGAGGTTGTGGAGAAACTGGAACCCTTATTCACTTTTGGTGGGAGTGTAAAATGGCGCAACCACCGTGGAAGGCGGTATGACGCTTTCTCAAAAAGTTGCAAGTAGAGATACCATTTGACCTAGCAATTCCAATACTGGGAATATACCCCATAAGAGATCATAAGTGACATCCAAGCAGATATATGCACACCCTTGTTTATTGCAGCTTTGTTCACAATAGCATGGAGTTGGAAACAACCCAGGTGCTCATCAACAAAAGAATAGATAGAGAAGCTGTGGTATATTCATACAATGGAATACTACACTGCATTGAAAAACAAGGAACTCATGCAATATTATTCAAAATGGGTGACCCTGGAGGACATTATGCTAAGTGAAATATCTCAGTCACAAAAGGACAAACACTGCATGGTGCCACTATTGTAGAATGGGGCTGACATCAGGGTTGGGGTAAGACTGAGAAAAACTGAATATATTTTGTATACTGCATTGAAACATATGAGGGAGAAAATAATTTAAAAGCAATATATCAGGGTATTATGGTTAGCACAAGAGCCCAGAATTAAGTTTGCCTAGGGGAGTGTACTTGGGGCTGTGGGAGGGGTGCGGGGGGATTGTATACCAAAGAAAGAATTTTTCTTTTACTTTTCAAAGAGAGGAGCAAACTGGGAAGGGGGGGAGACAGGGGGGAGGACTGGGCAGGGAGAAAAGTGCAACAATGAATGAATGGAAATCCAAAATCTCTGTAAATTTTCATTAAAATTATTAAAATAAAAATTTTTTAAAAAGAATTAGATTGCTGAGGTATTTACTATTCTCATTCTCTCTCATGCATACACATGCATACATACAGTACATATAATTGTATGCTAGCCATCATTTTCTAACATTTAGGCACACACACGTATATGTGTGACAAATACACACCACTCACACACACATGCATGCACATGCATAGTTGTACAAACTTATGCTCACATGTTAGCACCATGTAGGTACATCTAAATAGAACTTCCACATTAATATGTACACACATACAAAAATATCCTGTCATTTATCTTTTTCTCTCCCAAAGTACAACGCAAAACTCTGAGTGTTATAGCTCACTGGATAGATTCGGTATTTAAGCCCAAAGTTTTTCCTAAGCCTTGGGTTGTATCTTCCTGGGAGTCCAAGTATTCTATAATATCTGTGTGTTTGTTTTTTTTAAAATTCCTTGTTCAACACACTGAAGGCAGTCAGGCCTAGAGACATTGAAAAAGCTCCCACCAATTTGAAATCGAGGGCTCACCCTCAAATCATTATTTGTAAAGTGAGTAAGAACATGGCTTCAGTGGTTTAGTTGTAGGAACAGCTCCACGCTCTTCAGTGTACCAGTAACAGAAGGGCCCTGCTATCAGATGAATTAGCAAATGAGAAGAGGCTGCTCAGTACTGTAAAAAACACCATAAATTCTCAGATTCAGTACTGAAGCACACACAAAAAATGCAAAATGGTCATAGAAATGAAGGAAAACTGTGATGTTTAAATGTTCAGTGAGTATGCCAGCTCCTTCGGTAAAGCACAGGTGAGAGTGGCAGGTTGTGCTCAAAGACAGTTAGACATCTTTGCATTGTTTCTTCAGTATGCTGAGTTCAAATTTCCAGGGTTTAGATGCAACAATGAAGGTGCAAAATACCACCTGGGGAGGGGGAAAGAGTCTGTGTTGAAAAAAGATACAGAAAAACAATTCCTAATTTCTACTACTGGTTCCAGGGAACAAGAGATGATCTAAGACAATCAAGCCCTTGGGAGTCCGCAGAGCTGCTGCACTAGAATCATAATGGCAGACACTCAGCCTCAGTTGCTGGGGTGCATCCTGGTCAAGGCACTATTACTCTCATGCAAGCCACTATGAATGTCTGCTCAAAGGATGCAGAGATTAAAGCATCCAAGGGCTGGTGATCCACAAGAAAGTCCTCACTCTAGGTCCTTCATCAAGCCATACTAACTTACTTTTACCCACAGAAACCCTATCCTGCATGAGGGGTCAGGAGTACATACCTAGGTGAGTAACCATATATACCCAGGGGAGTAACCATATCAGGAAGCAGCAGAGTCCTACACACCAGGGACAGGAGCAAGGGCAGAGACAGGCAGCAGGCAGTGGAGGTCTTTAGATTTTGGCCAGAGGCAAAGAACCCTCAAACCCTAACAACTTTGTAATGGGAAGCCTGGAGTAAATACATGCACTGTTTCCCAGAACCCTGTGGAATAGGGTGGCTGACTTGTCCCAGTTTGCTTGAGACTTTCCTGGCTTTACCACTGGAAGTTCCACATCTTAGGAAGTCTCAAGTCTTCAAAAAACCAAAGTGATAGGCCACCTGATGTTTGTCCCAGGGAGAGGCACTGAGCACAGTGATAAATATAGCCAGCCAGTCCCAATTATTCCAGACTTTTCAGATGAAGCCGCAGACATGAGTCAAGAGCCAACTGGAAGATATGGGCCAGGCAGACACCACAGAGGATGTAACAGCTGCCCAGTGGAATCCAGATAGATTGCAGAATGGTGAGAAACAATAACTTCATGTTGCTTTTAGCTACTCAGTGTGTGTTCAGGCAGAGGGAAAATGAGGGCAGGAGTGTTATCAGCAATATAAAATGGAAACAGTGCTATATGTTTAGAACTTGGTCACATAAAGTCCTTAATATGAGCAGAATTTGGCTTTAAATAGTCCTCAAGTTTCTAAAGGGTTTGCGTCCTCAATTGCTAACTAGAAGATGGGGGCTTTGAGTCTGCCTAGAGGTGTCCCAGGAGAAAGATCTGGAAAACCACCTTCCCAAACTCAGCTTCTGTAAACCCTGTGGAGCAGTCCTACACTGACACTCAAGGAGTCATTCCTACTTGGCAAATTGGTGGCAACTGAATTTCTACAGTTTAAAAATTAATATATTACTAGAACTATATGTATGACAACAGCCCAGAATAAGAGAGATATTATTGCAAAGAGGACTAAGGAGGAAGGGGAATGTAGGTAATTGTGCAACAATGAATGAATTTTTTTTAAAGTGAACTTGGGGAGGGATAAGGGGGTAAAATGTGCAACAATGAATGAATGAAAATCTAAGTTCTCTGTAAATGTTCATTAAAATCACAATTAAAATAAAATTTTATTCTTTAAAAAAAAGGAAACTGGACCAAAGCAGAATAGACTGTTGGCTTTCTCTTTCTGGGACACAAGCCTAGCCAGATCATCAAACCCCCTGGTATTTGCCACCTACCTTTTGCATTTTTGGATCTTTTTGAAATAAGCAGTTTTCATTTTCGCCTGAGATTTTCTTGCACATTGTTCGGGCAATTTCTACTTCAATATAGTATTCTAAGCTATCGGTGATCTGTCAGTGAATAATTTAAAATTTAAATATTGTCACAGTAACAGGTATCAAAGCTGAAATGAGGTGTATCATTGACTATGTGGAATAAGAGCTTTCCTCCCTCCCTCCCCTCAGCCCTTTCATCTATATGTAAATATGGTCAATACCTCCTCTATCTCATTTTCTCTCTAGCCTTTTATCTCCTTCTTTGTCTCTCTCTCTCCTAAACACACACACATGCACACAGAGACATAGACACACAAAGTCACTCAAGGTTAAAGCTATGCCTCCCATATATGAATTAAACACAGAATTACATGGAGGTTTTGAATAGAAGATAGGCCTTTATCCCTGTTTACTCTGTAGCTTTGGGTCAAGAAGGAGAAGAATGTGTATTACTAACAAGCTCCCAGGTGCTACTGGTACTGCTGTACCTTCTCTGTAAAGCACTGGGTTAAACAATGATAGGCTTCCATGGCCTGACATTGTGATAAGGCAGAAGAGCCTCTATGTATTTGGGTCCTTTTCACAGCTTCCTGTGCAAAGACTGTCTTTAGTTACATTTCAATTACTTTTTTATTAATATTTCAAAAAATGCATGACTAGGTCATAGTCTTATTACAAAAAAAGAAAGAAAATGAAAGACCATGGTGGTAAAGTGAAATTTCACAAATGCCTTCTTAGGCTGAAGACACTCAAACTTTTGGAGTATATTATGAAAAATCAAAATAAAAACTCTTAACTCATGGGAGAATGAAACTACAGTTAGTTAACAAATAGAAACCATATATTTGTATGCAAACCAATATAAAATAAAAAGAAAGTGAGGGGGAAAGAGCGAAAGCTTCGAGATAGGGATGACAGATGTACAAGTGTCAATTTCTAGAAATAAGATTTAAAGAAAACCTACAGAAAAACAGAGAAAGAAGAAAATATTTTAAGAAATAATGATCTAGAAATTATAACATAAAAACGTAAATATTGAAATCATTTGGAACACTAAATCTTACAAACAAAACAAAAAAATTTAAAAAAAACCCAAATCCTCATACCTAAAAGAAAAAGAATGTACTCGAAAGCATTTCCCATCCAGAGACAAGAGTTCAGCTCAGGCATCACCCATATTACTCATCTGCCTCAAGGTACTCAAAGTAGAGAACCCAGGCATGTCAGGTTAGACCTCTGACCTACGGAACCATGAATTAAATAAAGATGGTTTTCCTGTAGCAAGTTTGTGTTAATTCATCATGTAGAAATAGAAAACAAATATAATGAGCTAGGAGAAGCCTTCCCTGAGAAGGTACAATCAATAGATGTGACTCCATAAGTGAGGTAAGCACAGGTTTACACATGCTTACTTACAAATCTCACTCTGGTAACCTAGTGGTAAGAAACTGTGCGATTCCGAAGGCATGCAGTTTAATACACCAGCTGCTCTGACAGAGGGTGGGCAAGTTCATCCCAGGTGATTAATTGCCTCTGAAAGCTGGCTGGAATGCCAGCTATGAGTCAGTTATAACTCAATAATACACAACAAAAACTAACATGTATAAGATAAAATTTTTCACCACTTCAAAGATTCTGCTTCTAACGATTAAATCCATGTGTGCATCAATTTTTTTTCCCAACAGGGTGAAAAGAAAACCTACAGACTGGGAACAAACATTTGGTAATACCATCTCAGACAAGAGTTTTAGAACAAAAGTTTACAGAATAGTCCTGGACCTCTACAAGAAAAAGACTGATAACCCAATTATGAAATGGGCAAAAGACATGGAAAGAATTTTCACAGAGGAAGACATTTGAATGGCAAACAGACAGATGAAGAAATGCTCCAAATCACTGGCAATAAGAGAGATGCAAATAAAAAACACATTGAGGTACCATCTCATTCCAGTACCAGTGGCAAAGTTTAACAGGGTAGCAAGTAATAGATGTTGAAGAGGATGTGGCAAGAAATTAACTCTTATATATTGTTGTTGGGATTGTAAAGTGGTGCGACCATTCTGGTAGGCAGTTTGGCACTTCCTCAAAAAGCTGAACATTGAAAATGTATATGATCCAACTATTTCACTATTTGGAATATACCCTGAGATAATAAGAACTGAGGCACAAATAGAGATTTGTACATCAATGTTCATAGCAGCATTATTCACTATTGCAAGAACATGAAAAGAGTCCAAATGTCCAACCGCAAACAAATGGATTGAGAATAGTACACTAACACAATGGAATACTGTGCAGCATGAGGAACAATGATTTTTTAAATTATTACCTATTTGGGAAGGACTGGAGAGCATTATGCTGAGTGAACTAATTCAGTCCCACAAGGATAAATATTGTATAAAACCATTAATTATTGTAGAATTAGTGTAAGGATTCAAGAAGGGTGGGAGAGGCTGGAAACAAAGGGATGAAGATGTACAGGAGGAGGGGGAATTAATCATTGGGTTGTACAATTTGTTGGGTGGAGGGATGATGGAAATGGAAAGAATTTGTTCTTGTAAATAATGTATTTGAATTTTGTAAATAAACTAGTAGCAATTTTTTAAAAAATTCTGCTTCTAGTTATAGCTGACATCTGTTTTTCAATTCCAGAGAATATTCCTTCAGACTTGGCCACATGTGGGAGCTGGAACTGAGTGAGTGGACCAACAGCTCTGGAACGCAGGGAAAAGTATGAATTCCTGAGTGTGCATCAGCTGCCCGTTTGAATCTATCCATGGATGACTGGGAATGAGTTGACCAGATGCAACTAGATGAAGAGAAGATGATCCATGCTGTGAACTAGGGCTACTTGCTGCATCCTGATGACTTGCTCTTGACTGGCCTTTGCTTGCAGGTGTAGATGCTCAAGTTTCCAAGACACAGGGTCCTTCAGCAAAAAGGATATCCTTGTTCCCTCAGAGTATGGGGCTATCAGAGTAATGGGGTATTAAGGCACAAGGCATTAAGTAGTGTGGGCTTATGTACTTTAAAGAATATAGGTGTTAGTAAGATGGTTGTAAGGTGAGGGGACCCCACAATATACATGAACAAAATATAATGTAAATGAAATATTGCATAAAATGAAATGTTGTTATTGTTATGCCTGGTCAAGTTGCCTGTAACTCAGTGACCCTATGCACAATAGCTCTGAATCCTGCTCTATCCTGAGCAACCTTACTGTCTCTGACACATCCACCTCCATTACCCCAGTAACTGAGTCAATCCATCTCATCCAGGTTCTTCCCCTACATTGTCCCTTCAACATCCCAAACACAATATACTTCTCCAAGGACTGGTCTCTTCCTGCAACATGACCACAGTATGTCAGATGGAGCTTCAGAATCCTTGTCTCCAAGGAGCAGTCTGGTTTCACCGTCTCTAGGGTGAACCTGTTTATTCTCCTAGCAATCCAAATACTCTTATCCAGCACCACAGCTCAGAAGCATCAATTCTTCTATCTTACCTAGCCATTGTCCAGCTTTCTGATGTATAACATATAACTGAGAAGACCATGGCCTAGATCAGGCACATCTGTCAGCAGATGGACATCTTCAGTTCACCTTTTGATTTCCTGAATGCTGGTACCAAGGGTGTTGATTGTGGAGCCAAACAAACTGAAGCTGTTAACAATCTCAATCTCTTCACCATCTATCATGATGCTGCCAATTGGCCCAGTGGTGAGAATATTTGTTTTCTTGATGTGGAGCTCCAATTCATATGATAAAAATATCAATTTTTTTTAAAAGAATGGAAAGTCCCTTTTTAAATGTTCAGTTCTTGGCAGTGATGGAGTACTGAAAAGCAGGGTAAGCAAAGATTTGCTTATTCTTCATGTGGTGAGAAGTGTGAAACTATTCAACACAGATTAGTAAGTATGCACAAGTAAATCTGTGCTTACTTTGATTGTGAGTAATCTACCCAGATAATCAGACTTGTACAAGTCAATAAATTTAGGTGGTACATGGACTCATGGTGAAAGAACACACTGTTAAGCAGATGGTGTTGGGAAAACAACTCAGCATATGGAGGAGGAAAAACAAACACCCTTGTGTTTAACTTACTTAAGGGAGCTCTGGTGGTGTAGTCTGTAGGATGCTGCAATGGCAAGCAAACAAGCAATCTCTAGCAGTTCGAATCCATCAACTGCTCCAAGGAAGCAATATGGGTCAGTCTCCTCTTATTACAATTTACAAGGTCAATAATGTATGGAGGGTTGCTATGGGTCAGAACCAACTCGACACAGTAAGTATGAGTTTTAAATTACTTAGAGGAAAACCCAGACATACTGAAAGCCTAAATATGGAAAAGTAAGTAGAACAGGAAAAAAATCTAGAAAATTATCTTTGAGAGCATCAGTGTATAAACCGTATTGGAAAAAACAAAGTTAAATAAGGATTGATTTTAAACAAAGCTTTGAGATAGATGGTGGATGGGAGAAGATATCTACAATATCTAAAACCTACAAGAGGAGATTTCCCAACAAAATCCAACCCAACCCTCTACAACTAAGACACCAGAAAACAGAGATTACACATGGATGATAATCCTGAAGAAGTGGCTTCAAAGGGCATGACGAAAAGTAGTTCAAAAACTGACTGTAGGGAGAAACTGAATGAATACACAGATAAGGAGGCAGACAGTATAGTATATTGTGAACAGACCTGACACAGGGTGTGCATTTTAACTTTTGGAAGTAGCTTTCTGATCAGGGCAGGAATTCAGGATTGCAGCTACAGTCTCACTATTGACTGACTAGCGACAAGAAAGGTGTGGTCCTGTGAACTTTATTGCCCACAATCTCCTTGGGAATAAGGACAATGACTGTACCCTGATCAGGTGGCTGTAGGTACTCACACAGACACCACTTCTGCTGCACCTCTTGTTAGGAATGTGCTTTTGTTAGGAATGTGGACCTGGCACTTAAATGTGCTCTGCACTACATTTGGAGATGTGCTGTCAGTATCCCCTGGTACCAGTGGAGTATTCATGCCTTACCTGGAGCCTTACCTGCAGCCAGCACCCAGATAGCCAAG